ACCATGGGCAGCATCACCTGGAATGGAGTGGTTGGCGCTGGACACCCAGAGGGGCTGCTGGCACAGGGGGTGGCCCCAAGGTGGGACACTGGACCCACAATGCTGTTACTTGTGCAGAACCCACGGCACGTTGCCAGGTGGCCTCAGCTTGTTCGGGGATCAAAGCTGAAGGGTCAGGTCCACCCCCTTGGGACCCACATAGCCCCCTCCCCACTGCACGAACACAACAGCTGACGCTGCCAGTGACGGGCAGCTGGATGGTCCCTGCCTCAGCCCCGGCACGTACGGGCCTGATCCTGCACCATGATGGAGCAGGGCTTGGCTGCTCCAAGTCTGCTTCCAAACCCCACCAGCTGCAGAAGCAGCTCTAGCACCAGTAGCGACATCAACACGGGATGACAGCCCCCCTCACCCCATGGCCAGGACATCCCCCCCAGGTCAAAGCGATCCCAGCCTGCAGCTCAGGTTAGGGCTGGGGAGGGACTCCTGCTCCCCGCTACGTGTCCAGCACGGCACTGATGGATGCCTCGGTCCAAGGGTCACGGACGGGAATGTTTTCACACGGCGACAGCTGGGAAACCAGCATCGACACAAAATATATGATGTTTGTCACTGCACTTTAACAGGGCATTTAGCATTTCAGGCCATCTAACGGCTTGGGCCTAACTGCATGGCAAATGTGTTTGAGAAATAATTGGTTATTAATAGGGGCTATAAATCTCCAAGATCCCTAAGCCTTCTAGACTCAGAGCTATAAATTGGATATTAAAACTTCCTTCGGCAAGACGTAGTTCAAGTGAGGGATATACCCTCTAAGTCACCTTTCAGAGCTGCCTGCTGTAAAGGTTGATTTATTACCTGTTGGTCCTAAACTGGTAAACATTTAAGATCCAGCTAAATATTGTAACACAGACATCGCTGAAAAATAGACGTCCAGAGAGAGAGGCAGGGCTGAATAATGAAGAAAAATGGCAGAGTCCCCGCTGGACGGCGTCAGGGGACAGCGGTGGCTGCAGGGGATGGGAACCTGGGGGAGGATGGCTCCTGGGAGGCTGTAGGGCATTTCTGGACCATGGAATGAAAGAACAGGTTGAGAGAGAGAAAGAAAATTGGTTTTGCTGCCTCCTTCCCCACCATGGTCCACCGCAGCTGGGTTCAGCCGATAGCTGACGCTTGTGCTGCAGACGGGAGGTGCTGGGTGGCCGACGGTGAAGGGACAGTCAGGTGGTGGCACCGCTGCAGGGCTGCGTTTCCCAAGGGGCTCTTCGTCCCCGGCAGGTATCTCGGCACACGTGAGAGTGAATCAAGGTGAAAAACACCCATGGCAGCCACGCTTGCAGGCAAAGCCCTTCCACCCTCCAGGCATCACACCTCTCTGCACACAGAGGGAAGCCAGGCAGGCCCATCCCGTTGGGAGCAAAGCCTGCGAGGCTCGGGGCAGCCGCCGCTGCCAGCCAGGCCTCGATGCTGCGATGCACCGTCCGCACGCCGGGACCAGAGAGCCACCCACCCACGCCACAGCCACCCTTGGGTGCTGGCTCTGCGCCGACATCATCTGCTCTGGACTCACAGAGAGGCAACAGCCACACCGAGAGCTCGCTTCTCACATTTTCAGCTGAAAACAACCTTCGTGGCTCTGCTCAGAGCATCTCCTGAGCAGTCCATGAACGGCTGCTCACTGTCTCCTGGGCCAACACACCCGGTACGTTACTTGTACGAGCTACTGGGAAGAGAAGCGCTGATTCCTACAGGAGCTAAATCAAACCTTTCCTGTACTGAAAAAACCACGCAGTCCTGCAGAGAGGGTGTGATTTCGAAGGTTGATAGAACATCATTAAGTTTCCTGGTTCTGGTTCTAAAGGTTCACTATTAAAGCAAATTAAGTGCTTTCAAGCCACTCCTCTCCCAGTTTATCCTCATGCCCAGCGTTACTCCCTCCCAGGTGCAGAATCTGGCATTTGCTCTTCTTCCATTTCGCGCTCTTGATGATTGCCCAATATTCCAATCTATCGAGATCCCTTTGCAAGGCCTCTTGGCCCTCAAGAGAGCCAACAGCACCTCCCATTTGGTATCATCAGCAAACTTGCTAATGGTGCATTCGACTCCTGCATCCAGAGGAGCTTCCAGCTAGCCAGCTTCCTGCCAGCAGTGATCTCCCCAGACTCCCAAGACCTTTGGTAGATGATCAAGAGTGGTCCTGCCATAACATCCGCCAATTCATAGGGTACTCTGCGATGAAGCCTGTCAGGCCCCACAGACTTAGGAACATTCAGCTGACACAACTGGTCCCTTCCAATTTCACTGTCCACAAGCGGAAAGTCACTCTTCCTACAGTCATGCTCCGCTGACTCAGAGGACCGGGTTGATAGCTTGGCAAAGGGTTGAGAGAACATCACTGAGTTTCCTGGTTTGGGTTTTAAGCAAAGAAAACCAGAGGAACCCAACACAAGAAAGGGGCCTGGGTGCAGAGCACCAGTTTATTTCAATTGCAGGATGTATTTAAGGGGCATTTCAATTATATTTCATCCTCTGGAGCAGCACGGAGAGCCTGCTGAAAGCTGAGAGCATCCCCTGGGTACATGCACAGCCACGACAGAAGCAGCGCTGCTGAAATCCCAGCGCGGGGGTTATCCCGCAGAAGAGGGGCCGGGCATTTCTGCACAGGGGGAAGGTGCCCAAGGGAAAAACTTCAGGTCCGGGGCACTTTGATGCCCAGTGCTGCAGCCTTCCCCACCCCTACCCGGGCACCAGCTCCCAGGGGCACCGGGATGCAGCACTGCCCCAGCAGAACATCCCAAATGCAAATCCACTTGGATTCACTTCTGGGCTCAGAACGGCTCTCCCCATGAAAACAAAACCAGGCTTTGTAGCAATTTCTTCCGTCTCCCACTTCCTGTGCCAGGAGATGGGTGCCACGCTGTGATGTCATCGTGATGCAAACAGGCATCACGTTGACGTTGAGGAACTTCCCAGCAGCCGGTGCCACGGCCCTTCCT